GTCAACCATCGTCACCGTCGTCTCCTGTCTCCCTTCCCTGGGCCTTCGTCGTCGTGTCGTCTCCGTCGTTTCCTCATCGTCTCCGTCGTCGGCTGCGTCTCCGTTGTCTTCTCGTCGTCTCCGTCAACGGTCGTCTCCGTCGTCCCCCGTCTCCTTTCCCTGGACCCTCGTCCTTAAGCGCGCCAGCCAAACCGACACTGAGCAACGCCGTAGCTGAGTCGAAAAAAGCCCCTTCCCTTTGATCCCCTTCCTGCCGGGAGGGGTCCCGGGGGGGTCGCCCCCCAGATACGCATCACCCCCAGGCGAGGGCCCAGAAAAGGCCCAAAACGCGGCAAGAGTGCCTCAAGAGGCCACCAAGACGGTCCTTGAGAGCCCCGAATCGCCATATGATCGGTCCAAGACGTCAAAGTAGCCTCCAGACGGCTGAAGAGGTTTTCAACACGCTCCAAGAGGCCCCGAAGAGCACTCCCAAGGGCCCCCAGGGGCAAACTTCGCAGATGTGTTTTTTATTGAACGATGTTGGCGTTCTCGCCTTGTCGGCTTCCCGACGTTCCAAGACATCCCAAGAAGCCCCCAAGATCGCCCAGCCCAAAAAGCCTCCAAGAGGGCCCCAAAACGACAAAAGAGGGCCCCAAGACCGCCCAAGAGGCCTCCAAGATTGCCCAAGAGGGAATCCAAACGGGGGGCCCGAACGGACATTTCGAGCCCTTGGCCTGAGAGGCTCCCAGGCCCCCAAGAAGCCCACCAAGGGGCTCCAAGGCGCCCCCAAGAGGCTCCCAAGAGGCCCCCAAAAGCCTCCCAAAAGGCCCCCAGACTGCCCCCAAGTGGCCCCCGAGATGGCTCATCGTCGTCGTCATCGTCGTCGACGCCGTCGTCGTCGTCGTCGTCTTCGCCGCCGCCGCCGCCGCCGTCGTCGCCGTCGCCGTCGCAATCGCCGTCGCCGTCGTCGTCGTCGTCGTCGTCGTCGTCGTCGTCGTTCAGGGTCGGCGGCGCCGGCCGTAAGGCCTCTCCAATACAAGGGGGGCCGTCCCAGGGCCTTGGGCCCTGGATCTCCCTCATATCTGTACATATATATATAGAGAGAGAAAAAGGAACAAACACGAGAGAAAGAAAGAGACCGAGACAAAGAGACTGAGGGAGGTAGATAGATGGACAGATGGCAAGAACGAAACCAGGTAGAAGTATGACGAAACAGAGGCAGAACCACATGCGTACTTTACGACCACCATTTTGGTAATAAGGAGGCTCGATGGGGAGGAACCCACCTCTCACTCGATATCATTAGCGATCTAACTATCAATATGAATATCGATCTTACTATCGATCCCACTCGAACGATCTCACTATCGGTGCCACAATGGACCTCACGATCGACCTCACTATCGATCTCACTATCCTTCTCAGTATCGGTCTCACAGCAGATCTCATCGTCGATCTCACTATCGATCTCACGATCGATCGCACGACCGATTTCCCTTATGGATCTCACGCTCGATCTGAAGATCGATCTCATCATCAATCTCCGTATCGAACTCACTACCGATTTCACGATCGATCTCACCATCGATCTAATAGTCGATCTCCCTCGAGCGACCTAACTAGGACGTCACCATCGATCTCACGATCAATCTCAGTATCGACCTCACTATCGAACAAACGATCGATCGCACGATCGATCTCATTACCGTTCTCACGATCAACCTCACTACCGATCTGAAGCTTGATCTCACCATCGATCTCACTATCGATATCACCATCGGTCGCACTGCCGATCTCACTATCGATCTCACCACCGAGCTCACGGGACACCGCGGGACACCGCGGGACACTGCGCCACGGCACGCCACGGGCCACCGCGGGACATCACCGGGACACCACGGGGACACCGCGGCGGAACACCCCGGGCCACCGCGGGCCAATCTGGGAGGGGGGGACTCTTGGCCCGGCCTGGCGGCACCCGAGCTAGAGGACCGCCTCCTCCTCCTCCTCCTCCTCCTCCTCCTCCTCTTCCTCCTCCTCCTCCTCCTCCTCCCCCTCCTCCTCCTCCTCCTCCTCCTCCTCCTCCTCTCCCCTCCTCCTCTCCCTCCTCCTCCTCCTCCTCCTCCTCCTCCTCCTCGCCTCGCCTGCACGCACGACGCGAACACGAAACCGAAACCGATTTCCAGATAAGGGTGGCTCCCAGTTTCACTGCGAACTCATCCAGTCGCCTACGATCCCGTGGAAGGAAGATCATGGGGGGGAAGGGGCAGCGAGGGGGAAGACGAATGAATCAATGCATGAGCTCATGGAACCCCTTCCACTGAGAACAGCCTGAAACGCATCACTGCCAAAAACTTTGGACCGACTCGCCACAGAGAGAGGACTCCGAGCCGCTTCCCTCCCGAAGCCCACCGAGAGCTAGCACGGTCCTCCGCCGCGCTGTGCACGAGGCAGCGCAGGCCCGGGCCCGAAAAGCTCAGGCCCGCACGTAGTGGGCTCGACGGGGCGGGCTAAACGAGGCGTCAGGTGCCTCGGGCCTCGCTTCGCCTCCCCCGCCCACCTCCCCGCCCACTCCCACGACGACCCCGTCCCCCTGTTCTTCTGGCGGCTGGGGCAGGGAAATCACGGGTGTGCTAGGTAGAGATTCATGCGCATACGTGCGCACTCGATTCTGTAGCGTGCTAAGAGGCACCAGGCGCAATCACTCCTCGATCGATCAACTCACGAAGACGATCAGACTGTCCCAAGGCATCTCTCACTCCCCGTTGGGAAAGGATGGAGACGATAAGCAAATTGCGGACACGAATGAAGGGGAGGGATAAGACGTAGAGGAAAGGGAAGACGAACATGAAGGTGAACAGCATGAATAATGCGGAGGAACAAAGGTGGAGGGGTAGGCGAGAACAAAGAGCGAATGCACTGATGACCATCAAGGAAAATAGCAGGCCGACTGCCCGTCCCAATGTGCGGCAAATCGCTACCATTGTGATGGCAACCGCTCGGGTCCTGTGCACTACCGTCCCGCAGGCGTGCAGCTCTACTCGTATGCAAGAGGCGCCCTTGCTTGAAAGTTTGAGCAGCATTATGCAAGGTTTGATGGTGCGAAGTGCCACTGCACACGTGCGTACCCTTGTGGGGGGGGATAGCCTTGCGGGGAAGGGAGGGAGAGATGGAGAGACCGAATCAGAGAAACGATCGCACGACACATAATCATGGGCAGGAGGGGCGAGAACGGAAATGACTGGGAACGACGAGAGGGACAACCGAACACGATCAGATTGCAGCGGCGGGCACTCTCGAAGGTCCGCGCGAGTTTCTTGGGTAGGCCCTGGACCCTCCCTGGCGTGCGGAGCGCGCCATGGGCGGCACCTGGGGGGCGCCAGGGAAAGTCCGCGCGGACCTTCGATCATTCATGCCGCTGCATCTCATCCGGCAAGCACAGATAAGGGCTGTGCGGGCACGACGAGGCATTTACGGAGAGGGCTGCCGCCGAGAGCCGAAGCGCCTGGAAACCTTCCGTGGCCGGGGTCCGCTGTGGCCACGCTCCGACTGGAGCTGGCGCCATGACCCTCGTCTCCCGCGTGCTGTTTCTGCCCGCGGGAGCCTCTCTCTGGACCAGGAAACTAACGACACCACTTCACCTACGGCGCCACGGGGCTTAGCGTATACCGAGAAATCTGGCGTGGGCCCTTGCGTGGTATACGCCACGGCGCCCGATGGGCCGTAGCACAATGTGGAGGACCGTAGGTGGGCTGGTGTCGTTTGTTTTTTGGTCGACTCTCGGGGGGGGAAATAGGATTTGGTCGGGCATGTCCCCCTACAGGCGGGCATTGGGAGAAAAATGAAAAGTAGTGAACACATATTTAAACATGATCGCAAAAAGAATTAGAAAAAAACATTCCCAGAGTATGTGTTGGCTATTGTTGAATATCCCTCCTGTAGAGGGACGTGCCCTAGATAACAATTGGAAAACACAGAGAGACCAGGGGAAAGAGCGCGCGAGAACGGCGCCCACGCACCGATATCGTGCCTGGCCTCCCTCTGGGCCCCGCTCCGGCGCGGTGCGCTGCACACTGAGCCTCAAAACTACGCACTGCACCTTGGCGGCGAGCGAGGGAAGGATGTGAGAATGAGGAGGCCCTCTCAGAAGGCGGCGGGACTTCTCAGAAGCCCTCGCGCCTTCGGAAAAGTTGTCTGTGCCTTCGGGGAAGGCCCCGAACACTTCTCAGAAGGCCAGGGGACTTCCGAGCCTTCTGAGAAGGCCCGCCCATTCTCACTTCTCCCGGGCTCGCCGCCGAGTACCATTCCTGGGTCGAGGATCGACAACGTCTCGGGAGACGCAAGGGGAGGAGGAGGAGGAGGAGGAGGAGGAGGAGGAGGAGGAGGAGGAGGAGGAGGGAGGCAGGATCGAATGGACGCTCACGAGGGCGGGACTGATGACGGGGAGCGAGCACGAGGGGTGCAGGCGAGTGGCCCCCCCGAAGGGGTCCTGAATGGCTCTGAGACTGCTGGCCCTGCGGGCCCAACATACGAGGCGGGGGCTCATCCTTGACCACCGCCTCGGTGGTCGATCTTTACTGACATCGGCAGGCGGTGGATATGGATCTTTGCCTACCACACCCCCAGGCCCCAATGCCCGAATGTATATATATCCGCAGCATGCCGAGATCCCAAGATCGCTTCCCCCAGGCGGTGGTTAGGGATAAACCCCCGCCCCGGACAAATGTGCTTGGAACGTGCACCTGTCGTCCCCCCTTGTCAATCGCATCCTGTTCCCGCCGCCCGACAGGGGGGGAAGCCGCGGCGGCAGCAGCGGCAGTTCGCGCGCAAATGACCTGGCCCTGGAGGCCGATGGCTGGACGGCGGCCATTCAGCCAGCCAGTGAAGGGAACAAAGGCTCCAAAACTTCAATATGGATGTTTCGACGTTCTGTGCAGGGTAGTTGCTTCGACCCTCGACATCATTGATCTAAAACAGATTCAGCACTTGAGAGCGTCCAGGGGGCCAGGCGGGGCGCGGGCCAAGAACAGATGCGTGCTGGTCTGGAATGCCGAGTGCAGGGACACCACCTCCCGGCCCGCAAACCGTTCCCGACTATCAGTGGAGCGCGGCAGCGAACATATTCCAGAGGGGGAGAAGGGCGGGGGAGGACGAAACTCAAGACTGAGGGTGGGAGCAGGAGGATGCGGAGGGTGTTCCAAAAGCGGCTGCAGCGAAATAACACTAGCGAACGCCCGTGTAATCACATAGAGACAGCAAATCGGCCGACGACGATAAAGGAAGCATCGGCAACGACAAGCCTGACGACCAAAGCAGCAATCCGCCGACCACTGCTCGGTATGAGACATTTGGCTGTCCCCCTCCCCCTTTGCCCGAAAATCTGCTTAGAGGGGGCCCCCTGCGGTCACCGGAGCCTCCAACGAGCCCCCAGGCAGCCAAAGAGGGTCCAAACGGGTGGGGCGTCGAGACGGCCCAGGGTAGCCCCACGACGGCCCAAGATGGCTTCGAGACGGCCCACGAGGCCCACAAGACGGCCGAGGAGTGCTTTCAGAGAACCGCCGAGAGAGGCCCAATATGCACAAATTGCCCCATTCCCTTCGGAAAACGTATTTCTTAGCTCGCCTTGTTCGTGCTGGCAGCGTCCAAGACGGCCAACAAAGCCCCCACGACCGTCCCAAGACGGGCCGTGAGGAACCCAAGAGAGCCCCAAGACGGCTCAAGATGGCCCGAAGTCGGCTCCAGGGGCCCCCAAGACGGCCCAAGAGAGGCCCTCTTGGGCCCCAAGAGGGGCCCTCAGGGGCGACTACGAACTGACAATTCGAGCCTTGCCCCCAAGATGACCCCACGAGGCCCCCAAGAGGCCCCAGAAGCTCCCAAAAGCTCCCCAGGTGCCACAATGAGCCGTCCAAGATGCCCCTGAGAAGCATCCCAAATCCCACCAGCCCTTTGGGCGTGATTGGTTTAGGTAGCCTTCTCTGTCCTCAACCCCCCAACCCCCCTTCTTCCCCTTCGGGGAGGGGTTTACCCCTCCCCCTACCCCCCCCCCCTGGGTCTGGAGAGGGCGGGCCGCGGGTCGTTGGAGGGGTCTTTTTCGACTCCTGGGAGGGCTAAAAAACGACGACCCTCACGAGGATTCTGGCCCCGACGGGGGGGCCGAGAAAAAAAAACTCCTCTTCTGTGAAGCCAAAACCATCGATTTTACGAGGGTTTTGGCCCCATGTTGGCCTTCTGAGGGGGCAGCGCTCCTCTTCCTCGTTCTCAAAATCATTGATTTTACAAAAAGGTTTTGGGCTCATTTTGTCCTTCTCAGGGGGCAGCGCTTCTTTGCGCTTCTGAGGAGGTCGCAAGAGGCCCCAAGATGGCCCCAAGAGGCCGCCAGGAGCCTCCCAAGAGGCCTCCAAGAGGCCCCCAAGAGGCCCCCAAGAGGCCCCAAGAGGCCCCCAAGAGGCCCCCAATAGGCCCCCAAGAGGCCCCCAGAGGCCCCAGGAGGCCCCCAAGAGGCCCCCAAGAGGCCCCCAAGAGGCCCCCAAGAGGCCCCAAGAGGCTCCAAGAGGCCCCCAAGAGGCCCCCAAGAGGCCCCCGAACGACTCACACCAGGACGAGGGGCCCGAACGACTCACACCACGAAGAGCCCGAACGACTCACACCACAAGGAGGGGCCCGAACGACTCACACCAGGACGAGGCTCACACCACGAGGAGCCCGAACGACTCACACCACGAACGACTCACACCACGAGCCCGAACGAGTCACACCAGGAGGAGGGGCCCGAACGACTCACCACCAGAACGAGAAGCCCGAACGACTCACACCAGGACGAAACGACTCACACCACGAGGAGCCCGAACGACTCACACCAGGACGAAGAGCCCGAACGACTCACACCGAAGAGCCCGAACGACTCACACCAGGAAGAAGGGCCCGAACGACTCACACCAGGACGAGAAACCCCAAACGACTCAAATCACGAGGAGCGCTTTCTCTCCCTCCTCCTCCGCCTCGTCCTTCTCCCGCTCCCCCCACAAGGAGGATGTACAAGGAGGCGGGAGGAAGGAGGAACAGGGGAGATATGCGGGGCCAAGCGGACACACGCCTGAAAAACACGACTGTCGGCATGCTTCGCGAGAGTTGCTGCTCTGAGATGGGCTGGTGGGGATACGCGAAGCGTAAAGAATTCCCCTCATATGCATCAACGTGTCTCTTGACCCACTCCATTCCTTCCACGGACGCTGCAAGCTCTCACTGCATCTCCACACTCCGTACTCCAGGGACGCTCCCCAGTGGCCGTCACGAGACTCCGACAACGCCCCGAAGCGGTTCCCAGAACGCTTTACGATTGCCTCCCACAGCCTTCCCTGAGCCTTGCCGACAGACTCCCAAAGGCACAGACGCGGAGACCGCCTACCCACATCTGCAAGGGTAAGACCGCGCGCGACATGCTCGGCCCTAGCCTTCCCTATTGATCTCCACTCTCCCGACGCCCCAAATCCTGTTCGAAAAACCGGCGACGAACTTGACATCGTGCATTCCAAGCCGACGGGGCCTTCCGCTATAGAGATCGCCCGGCTCCGAAGAGGCCACAAGAGAGCCCGCAACGCCCGAAGAAAACCGCGATACGACACAATGTACCTCTTCCTCCTTCTCCTCCTTCTCCTCCTCCTCCTCCTCCTCCTCCTCCTCTCCCTCCTCCTCCTCCTCCTCTCCCTCCTCCTCCTCCTCCTCCTCGTCCTCCTCCCCCTCCCCCTCGCCCTCCGCGATTATGCATTACTCTTTGCCTTTTTCTGGGGTTTGGCGGAATGGCGTGAGCCACTTGAATGACAAGCAACACCGTGCTCCCGCGCACTGCTTCCCGTCGCCCCCCCGTGCCTCTCACGGCGTCCTCCCCCACCGAGGACATCAGGGATGCCCCCCCCCTCCCCGTGGAGCATGCGCCTCAAGAGTGCGCCCAAGAGCTGTTCCTAAGACATTCGTCCAGAAACTTTGCCTCAGGATTGCGTCTCAACGAGAAAGGGGGCGAGGGAAGGGAAGGAAGAGGAGAGAGTGAAAGGAGGGAGGACGAGTGATGAGAAGAGGTTGGAAAGAGGAGGGGGGACGAAGGTAGAAACGACGACGAGCCGCCAGATTGCCAGCTTCGGCAGCATTAGCAAAGACAAGTTGAAAGCATGAAGTTCGGACACTCCTTCAAACTGTGATGCACTGCCACGCGCGCTGTGCAATTACTACTGAGGCCTCCCCCTCCTCCTCGGGAACAAACGCTCCGAACATTATGCTGAATCCTCCTCCACCTCGTCATTTCCTCCAAGCTAGAACCTCAAACTATACCGAGACACAGAGCCCGAGAAAGACTCTTTCTCCTCATCCCCACCCTCCTCTTCCGATCCGTCCTCCTTCTCCATTCCTTCTCAGGTTTCTGTCCCTTTACCCTCTCCACCACTGCACCAACCAGCGAAGTCCCTAACCGCTCCCACACCATACGGCAGATGGCTGGGGGATGGGCGGGGCGGACATAGGTTGGTTGATTCGTGTGGGTTTGGGGCCAGTTCTGGTGTCTATCAACAACGCCACCGAGAGAAAAAACAACCCCAATGATGATGCTCAAATGCGATACCGGATGATGCACCTGTGGGTGGAGTCCTGACAGGATTTTCCAGCTGGGGGGTGGGCCAATACCCCAGGCGGGGGCAGGGCCCATGGCCCTGGGAAGGCTCCTTGGCTATGGAGGGAAGGTTGCTGCCATGGGAAGCACAATCGTGCCCCGGGACGCCCCTGGGAACTCCACCACGGCTGAGGGACAACGCCAGCAACCCTGTGCCTGCCCAGCTTTGTGCACAAGTGCGCGCGCACATACAAACAGACAGACACAAACACAGACACATACCCACACACACACACACACGCACACACACGCACACACACGCACACACCGCAGGAACCATCGGGCGACTGGGCTCTCTCCGGGGCGGGGGAGGCCATGGACGATTGCTGAGAGAGCTGTGTCCATCATCTTCGCAGGCGCCAGGGCATGATTCGTCATGGAATGTGTCTATGCCCAGGGGGATGGGTACAATTGTCGCTTTGCGATGGCCCCGCGTCGGATTGACAATATGAATATCCGATCACCGATCGATCCATCTGCCACTTACTCACCACCACGCCGCGTGCCCGTCCAACCTCACGCATCGTCCCTTACTCAATACCTGCTGGAAACCATTTCCTTAAGGCCACAATGCTCCTAGGCCAACTTGCTTAAGCGCGAAACGACGATGACAGGCACCAACTGAACACACACATGATGCATTTGTGAACGTCACGCGCGCTGGACCTGTCCTTGTAACGCACTTTCCTGATGCACCTTTCCAACCTCTGCGAAACTCAACCGCCCGCGGACGATACGCGCCCCCTCCCCCACGAAGGGATGCTGCAACCTCGCCATGATCCGCTTCTCGGTTATGACCTCGCCAAGAAGAGGAAGAGCAAGGACAGGGGGGGACGAGAGCTGGATTGTTGCACAGCTGGGCCGAGGGGGGATGGCGGAGGCTAGGGAAAGAGGGAGGGGAAGAGAATGGCGTGTCAGAGGTACGGAGCGGAGAAGGAGCACTAAGATCAGAAAGGGAGACATAACACTGCGCGCTCCGACTCCCGCTGCCCATGCACCAGAACGGAATGTACATAACCAGATCCGGGCACTGTGTTTGATGCCCTTGTAGCGTTCGACCTGAACCGCTGATATCCCTTAGCTCAGGCGCGGCACGTGCCAGCATCTGACGAGTACCCAGCGCGCAGCCTGCAACCTCTTTGAGCGAACGACGGCGTGCGGATATTTGCCAACGGCATTGCCGAATTCATCGGAAGGACTATCCACTGACTGCAGCACGTTGTAATTGATGATGAGCCTGCGGCCACGGCTACTGCTACTACTACGGCCGACCCTACTGATAGTGATACAACAACTTCTGCAATTCAATGCGCCACACAGCAAGCAGCAACTTATACCACCAATGCTACTACTGCCGCAGATATGGCTGTGACGAGTTCGATTGCAGCAAGGACGGCCGATGGTCCTGCTGCTACTACTGCTTCTACTACGACTACGATTACTACTACTGCTGCTACTACTACTATTACTACTACTACTACTACTACTACTACTACTACTACTACTACTACTACTACTACTACTACTACTACTACTAGTACTACTACTACTACTACTACGACTACTATGACTACTACTACAGCAGCAACAACAATTACTACTACTACTACTACTACTACTACTACGCCTTCTACTTCATCTTCTTCTACTACTACTACGACTGCAACTACTAAAGCTACTATTACCACTATAACTAATGCTAATACTCGTGCTACTACAAGTGCTACTACTACTACTACTACTACTACTACTACTACTACTACTACTACTACTACTACTACTACTACTGCAATTACAGCGACTACTACTACGACTACGACGGCGACGGCGACGACGGCGACGACGACGACCACCAGAACTACCACTACGACTACGACGGCGACGACGACGATGACTACCACTACAACTGCTGCTACTACTACTACTACTACTACTACTACTACTACTACTGCTACTACTACTACTACTACTACTACTACTACTACTACTAGTACTACTACTACTACTACTACTACTACTACTACTACTACTACTACTACTGCTACTACTACTACTACTACTACTACTACTACTACTACTACTACTACTACTACTACTACTACTACTACTACTACTACTACTACTACTACTACTACTACTACTACTACTACTACTACTACTACTACTACTACTACTACTACTACTACTACTACTACTACTACTACTACTACTACTACTACTGTTACGACTACTACCACTACCACTACGACTACCACTACTACTACTACTACTACTACTACTACTGCTACTACTACTACTACTGCTACTACTACGACTACTACCACTACTACTACTACTACTACTACTACTACTACTACTGCTGCTGCTGCTGCTGCTGCTGCTGCTGCTGCTGCTTCTACTAATACTACTGCTACTAATACAACTACTACTACTACTACTACTACTACTACTACTCCTGCTGCTACAAAAAAACGATGGCCCCGACTACTTCCACTACTACTTCTACAACTACTAATACTACTCCTACTACTACTACTATTACGACTACTACTCCTAATTCCACCAGTCCAGGCCAGGCTACGCCCCGAATGAGGCCACAAGCCGAAACCACAAGCCAAGCCGACCCAGGCCCACAACCGAGCATCGGCAGCGACCCTGGGACGTGAAAGGGGGCGTGCCGTCTAAAAAGGCTCGGAGGGCCTCTAGCCTTCTGAGAAGCTCTTATGCCTTCACCCGCCACACAGGAAACGCTGCTCAGAAGGCCGGAAAGCTTCTGAGAATCCCCGCCGCCTTCTGAGAAGGCCTCCACCAGGCCAGCCAGACTGCGCCCCGAACGAGCCCACAAGCGGACACGACAAGCCAGGCCGATCCAGGCTCCAAACCGAGCAGGCGCGGCAGACGCCGTGGGCGGGGCGCACCGCCAGCAGAGCCCAAACCACGCCAAACCAGCGCCATAGCCGAGCGGATTCCGTAGGGGGGGGGGGGCGTAGGGGGCGCCCAGGCCGCCATGCACACAGGTCGAGGCGACGCAGTGGGTGATCCACGGCGCGCGAACGCCCTGTCAGTTCGAATTCGGGGCGGGGGGATGGGAAGGGGGGGAGGGAGGCAGGGCCTAAAAGTCCACGGCAGGGCAAGATCGTCTCCCTCCTCGTTATCACATCCCCATGCTCTTCCCGGCCGTCCTCTTGCTACCCTCGTCCTCCTCCTCCTCCTCGCCCTCCCAATCGCGATGAAACTCCAGCCCCCCTCAACCCTCCACAAATATCCTCACCATCCTCCTCCTCCTCCTCCTCGCCCACCCCTTCGTCATTCTCCCTGGCCTCTTCCGCCTCACCCTCCTCGCTACCATTTCCGAACGGGCCATCTTCCCAGCGCCGAATGTTTCTTGCGGTGCTGACGGCGGCAATCGCGTTGCGATCGGAGACGTGCCCGCCCCTTCCCATACCTTTATGGCACTGCTCGCACTGCGCCCACAGCGCCAACCGCGACAACCACGGCGGCGGCGACTGCGATGGCGACAACGATGGCGACCCATGCTACCAACGCTACCACTTGCGACGCTGCTACCGGAACTGCCAACGCTGCTGCCACTGGCGCTGCAGATAATATCGCGACTGGTACCGTGCGTGCTGCGGTTGTTGATTCGGCTGATCTTGATGCGTCTACACCGCAAGCACTGGAGGAGGAGGAGGAGGAGGAGGAGGAGGAGGGGGAGGAGGAGGAGGGGGAGGAGGAGGAGGAGGAGGAGGAGGAGGAGGAGGAGAGGAGGGGGGAGGGAGGAGGAGGAGGAGGACATTCCAGGGATATTCCAGATAAGGGACATCGAAGGTCCCGAGGAGGAGGAGGAGGAGGAAGAGGAGGAGGAGGGGGAAGAGGAGGAGGAGGAGGAGGAGGGGGAAGATGAGGACGAGGAGGAGGAGGAGTAGGAGGAGGCACCACCACGACGACCGAATAGTCTGAAGGCGCGCACGAGTTGCGGCGGCCTTGCAACAAACATACTCTCTCCTACATGCCACGGAAGAGAAAATATCAGCGCACCCTCTGCAGCCGCTGCTCCTGCTGGAAGAGCCTGTCCTTGGCCATGACCTTCCGCCGCCACAGGCGCGATTTCCCCTACTGGTGCAAGCGCTGAAAGAACTGGGGGGGGGGGTTGTTGATCTGGCGGCTTTGTTGTCGCCGTCGCCGCCCCGTCGCCGCCTTGTCGCCGCCCGTCGTCTGGGCCTGGTTGTCGGTCACCACGCTTGTTGTCGCCGTCCCCGTCCAGTCGCCGCCTCGTCGCCCGTCGTGTTGGCCTGGTTGTCGGTCGCGCGCCCGTTGTCGCCGTCGCCGCCCGTCGCCGCCCGTCCGCCGACGCTGCTGCTGGGCCTGGTAATCGTTCGCCGCCCTTGTTGTCACCAGCGCCGTCCCGTCGCCGCCCGCTTGAATAGCATCGGACGACTTCGCAATGCTTTGAACTGCTGTCCTCTGTTTCGCATTACCTCGCATTGCATTGCATTACATATTACATATTGCGGTGCATTGTTTTGCACGGCCTAGGTTGCTCCACGTAGATTGAACAACATATGTTGCACAACATATATGGCATTACTGGTATTGCGCAAAATGGGCTGCACATCAGATGTTGCACCACGAGGGGTTGCACCACATGGATTGTGTCACGCAAGTTGCACCAAATAGATCACACCACACTTGTTGTGCCACACTTATTCCTAGAGACAGACGGGTTCGGGTCCACGCTGGCGAACATTCTTACCATGCCCGTGCTCCGTCTCCGCCTCGTTCTGTACACCTGCTACGTAGACAAGCCATGGTTGTGCACCATGCTGCCACCAAAACTACACACGGGGCATAATATGCCTTTCAAACCCCCTGGTCTTCTTCCTCCGCCTCCCACCTTTGACCGCCCACTACCTTATCTCCCCGCCCATACCGCAAAAGTGGGTTTCCTGTTCGCACCGTGCTTTACCCACGATCACTACTTGCAACACAGCGCTCATTAACACATCCAGAATGCTGCTCTCATGACTTGCCGCGTTATCCTGTTTCCCTGGTGCGCCTATCTCGCTCTCTCTCTCTCTCTTTCTTCCGTTCGCTCGTCTGTTCTCTCTCGTTCACTCTCGCTCTCTCTCTCTCTCTCTCTCTTTCCCTTTCTCTTTTTTGATTTCTCTCAGTCTCTTTCTCTTTCTCTCTCTGTCTATTAGTATATATATATATATATATCTCTTACTCTTGATTTCGCCTGAGGTCTTGCCCTCTCCCTTTCTCCCTCTCTCCCTCTCCCTCACTATCTCTCTCTCTCTCTCTCTGGTCATCTCTCCCTCACTCTTTCTGTCTCTGTCTTCGTTTCTCTCTCTTTCTCTCTCTCTTCCTCCCTCTGTGTGAACCCTAGTCCCCCCAGTTGTGAAAAAGAGTCAGGGGAAGGGGGGTCGTCAACAGTTTGCGAGGGGCTCGAAAGCTTGGTGAAGAGGCCCGCCGCCAGCGCCGATTCCTGGAAACACTGCGCATAAAAATTGGCGCAAACACTTGGACCTCTGTCAAAGCAATGTGGACGGGTCCCGGACGAATCTTCTTGGAGGTCTTCAAGGGGTGTGGTGTGAAAGAATGCGGTGCCAATGCTGGGAATGCCAATGTTACATACCAAGCTCCGATTCTGGAGATGGTACCATGTTCGTGGTGAATGCGCGTCTTGGAATGGGCCTTTGTGCCGCCGCTCAGATTGGACCGCGGTCGTTTAGGGGGGCTGGAATCAGAAATTGTGACGGTGTTTGAAGCGGTCGGCGCAGACCAACGTTGTTGCAATCGGGATGAAACGCCCTTGCGGCTATCGTGAATCACATCGCCAGTTTTCAGCACTGGCACAATCCTTGAAGGGCTCGGCGGGCGAATCGCCCAGCGGGTCGCAGATGGGTGGTAGGTGGGCTGCGGGTGGGCCGCAGGGCGGAGCGCGGGGCGGGTCGTGGAGCGGGTCGCGGATGGATCGCAGGGCGGGTCGGTGGGTCGCGGGGCGGGGCGAGCAAGAAGAAACAAAACATGCATCCGCACAGCGACATCGCAGCTCGTCCGCACACCCACAGGACAGTGTTGGATTGTTCGGCCCATCGCTCGGCAACGTGTGTAGGCAAACGTGTTCCATAGAACCGCTCTTCCACACTCCAGTTCTCTCTCTCTCTCTCGCCCTGTCGCTCTGCCCCTCGCTCTCTCTCTCTCTCTCTCTCTTTCTCTGTCCCTCTGGCTCCGCCGCAATACTCCGGCAGGCCCCACCTGTCTCCGCCCGCTACCGTTGCCTTCGCATCTTCCTGCTCCTCCGGCCTTCGCCCCCGTCTCAAACTCGTCCTTTCCCGTTTGCAGATTGTCAACCCCTGTTAGCTCGGCACCATTGGGCATGCTAAAGCACTTGCCAGTTGACTGGTAGGGTGTCTGTGATGCTTGCACGGGCGATCCCCCCTCGTAGCGAGATCCATCCGAAAACCTCCTCTCCTGAACTGCTGACAAGGTCAAGTGTTGGACACAGGACGGCTTCAAGGCAGTCCCCGCCCGCCCGAGGACGGCTGCAATGCTTCTGAAGACTAGGACAAGGTGGCCCCACGCCGTCCTCCTCCTCCTCCTCCTCCTCCTCCTCCTCCTCCTCCTCCCTCTTTTCCAGGTCCCCATCCGCCGTCCTCCCCCCCCCTCCCCCTCCCCCTCTACTTCTCCCCTCCTCCCTCCCCATCCTCCTCCCCCAACCCCTCCCCCGTATCGAGTGCGCTGCCCTCACGCATACCGCCGGTCGACGACGACGACGACGACGACGACGACGACGACGAGGACGACGACGACGACGACGACGATGACGACGACGACGACGACCCCTCTCCCGCCTCCCCCTCCTCGTCACCCTCCTCCTCCCCCCGCCCCTCCACCTCCACCCTCCTGCATCATCAACCTCCTGCTCCAGCTGTTGCCGTCAGGGATAGGAGCGGGCGGGGGGCGCGGGCCTTCACGGCCCGGAACTGCCCGGAAGGCACGTGCTGCGCTTGGACCACGCGGCCCGACCTGGATGGGAATGGTCCGCCCGGCCCCACCCCCTGTCGCGCGCGAGGAAGCGCCCCTCGTGAAGGGAGGGACGCTTGGGGGGCAAAAGCTGTGTCAATCAAGCTCCGCCGCGGAGAAACCCTCATCGCTGCGGCTGCTGCTGCTGCAGCTGGTGCTGCCGCTAATGGTGGCACCCTCCCGTGCAAAAGCCGTCACGGGTAGCTGTGAACCAGCAGCGCACAAATGAATTTCGTGTTTTGTTTCGGGGCGAGCCTGTAGCATAGCAAACCCTAACGCAAAATCGCACCACGCAGCCGGTGGGATGCTGACCGAAGGAGAACACGAATCCGCTGATCCTCTCCTACTTCAGCACTGGGGCAACAACTGCAACAATGCAGGACCGCAGTGGGGAACCCGTCAGCGCGTCAGCGTTGAAACGGCAGCAGGTCTGCGGACAACAGCCAAAGCGCAGCACGTTGACGAGCTGCCAGCGGTGGCATATCATGGTATCCTTCCGGGAGGCGGGGAACAATTGGGGCAATTGGATGCACGACGACGGGCGTCGACGACACTCTGCCAAGTGCAAGCGCTCCCAAGGGCCTGGCCATTGAAGGTTTCTGGGAACGGCATATCCCCAGTGGGGTACCTCGGATGGTCTACCACATCTGTCTCCCGAGGGCTCAACGTGTCAACTGGTGATTGAAAGACGATCCTCTAGATGATCGTTGACGGGATACCTGAAGGATGGTCTCCCAGCTGCTCCGCTCCTCTAGATGTCTCCCAGCTTCGCTCCTCTAGATGATCGTTGACGGGATGCCTGAAGGATGGTTGAACCGCCCCCCGATATGCAATAACGTTCGTCTGCACCTGGCATCATGCCATGACGTTCAGCTAAAACGCTGGTTATACCTTCAGCTTCGTTCGCAACATGGCGCAGCTCTGCTTTCAACGATGAACTCAAAGAGTTGATTTATGGATCAATGAGTGCGGATAGTTAGCTTTCGGTCAACATCCATGTCTCTCACAATCCAGAACTGTGTGGATCTGCATTCGGGATATGTACCAACGGAACGTCGATTGGAACCATGGGTTGTATATCGCGGCGCGGCTGACTTGCCAAGTCGTTATCATGAACAGATTCCAAAGCATTGGGCTGATAGCCATCTATTTGCCTGAGGATCAGGAGATTCTGACGCTATGATTGGCATATGGTATTGCTCTACTACCGTCACTTGATTTACTATCTCAGTGGATTGGATGTTTTTGGACTTGCCCATTCGACTTGGTATGCCAGTTAGTTACGCAGAGGTTCACGGGCAATTAGTCATGGTGGAACGCGCGCGCAGGAAGGGAGCGTTCGGTACTTTTCCGACTCACTCGCAGCCCAGACAGCTGCGGTCCACGCGATGACCAAGTTCAACTGTCGGCGGCGGCGGCGGCGGGCGACAGCAAGGACGGAGCCGTATAAACCGCATCGGCGTTGCGGCGCCATCTTCTGTCCTCATCTGCTCGGGCCCCATCTGAACGAAGATCAAAAACAGGTCGTACGCGAGACGGCACAGCGACCTTGCGCGCTGGCCGCTGGCTTACGTGGGCCGCCAGCGCGGCACGCCACATTTGAAGCGAAGGCGCTTTCGCGCGACCTAACGCTGGCAACTTACGCGCCAATGTCGGTGAAGACGACCTTGGTTTTCCGCGTCGCTTGCCTAAGCTTACGCGGTGCGCGAGACATCGATGCGAAATCTCCGAACCTGGGTCATCAACCTTCGCGCCTCGCGTATCGCGCCCTGCGATACGCTGTCACCTTCGCGCGCACATGTCCTCGCGCAGCTAAGTTGGAGAGAGGCATCAGCACTGGCACAGACCGCACTGCGCAAAACGAGACTATTCCTCACTCGCCTGGGGTGACCTGGCGAACGCACTGGATAGAGTAGGTGCTCGGCCCCACATCACCTTCGCCCTCGCTCCCCGGGAAACGGTAGAAGGGGTACGGGGGGGGAGAGGCCGAAGATCAGCTCAATTTGAACGCCCCCCGACCACCAGCATTGGCTAAGATCATCCGGCCCTGCCAAATTTTGAGAACGCCACTGAGCGTAGAGCTTGCGCTAATCCGCTCTTGCGGGAGCAAAGTGTGCGTCCGATCGCCCACGAAGCGTTGGCGACGAGGCCAACGAGACGAGGACGACGCCGACGAAGAAGACGACGACGACGACGAGCCGAGAAAAGACGATGGCGGCGACGTCGGCCACTGGACAGCACCGCGGGGGGGGCGACCCCCCCACGCCCAGCACCCGCACGATCTCTAGGTCGTCGATGTCCTGGCAGTAAGGCTGCGCTGTGGCTCCTCTTGCGCTCCTCGGCCTGCCAGGCGGGACGTCGTCGCCAGTCGTCGTCGAAAGTCGTCGTCGTCGTCGTCGTCGTACTCGTCGTCGTCGTACTCGTCGTCGTCGTCGTCGTACTCGTCGTCGTCGTACTCGTCGTCGTCGTCGCAAGGTGAGGGCACTAGATAAGAGACTCGTAGATAAGCCGTCGAGGGTCTGGAAGCCGGTGGGATACAGTGGAGGCCAGTCCACACGAAACCTTCTAGAAGAAACCCAACCCTGAGACCCGAGGACGTCCATTGATTTGTTGACCTGGGAACGTCACGGCTTCCATCGCAAAACAACCGAAACCCAAGAAACCCAGGGCACCCTGGAGGCAAGAGGGGTGTTTCGTGGCATGGGCCTCCACTGTACCGATTGAGGCTTGGCCATGGACACCACCGCCGCCCTCATCAAACAATGAGCCCTCCCGGGCCCGAAACTTCCTGGGCACAATCTCCAACGCACGCCCCCGTCGTAGCCACTATAGGGGGGCCGCCACCTCGTCCAGGAAGCGGAGACCCGCCTGGATCCCCAGGGCCCCCCCCCCCCGGACTCCTAGAATTAGGTAGGAAATGTCCTCCTACAGGAAGATTTAAAACATCAGAAGATTTTCAAACATAGCAAAAAATAATCAGAAAATGGTCCCCGCACTATTTCTTGATTATTTTTGGATATTCCTCTCGTCGGGGGACATGCCCGACTTTACCCCAGAGACACCCGGAGAGCTCCCAAACCAAACCCTCTCGATCCTCGACACTCGCTCCTCCTCAGCTATCGGTTTCCAGGAGGCGAGGGGTGGCGACCCCCCTCCTGGGGATCCCCTTGGGCACTGCCCGGTCTTGCTCGGGTGTGCCGAGAAGGGAGGCCAGGAAGAGAGGGGCTGGAGCATCGTGGACCCCAGGCATGTGTGAGGACGAGGGGGGTGGAGGCAGGGAACGATTCGAAAGAATGGAGACGGAGGCATGAAAATGCCCCCAGCCGAAATTCCTCCACCCCCCAGGCCAGGAGACGCTATGAACGACGCCTCCCGATATCTGCAGCTAACAAATTTAAACGAATAGGTCCAGGGGGGGGGCGTAGCGAGACGGCCCAGGAGGCCTGTGAAGCTGAGAAGGAGGTCGAAAGATGACCAAGAAGTCGGCCTCAAGAAACACAAATAATTGACTTCCATCTGTTTGTGATTGTTTTTCTTCGCACTATCAGCACTTCGGGGTTCTGAATGCCGAGCCGACCCGAAAAAAATGGCACAAGACGGCTAGAGAGGCTTCCAAGAGGGCGACCAAAGGTGGCCCAAGAGTGCCCCAAGACTGCCGAAGCGGCCCCTGAGACGGCCAAACAGCCTGTCAAAAGGACACCAATGATGGGCCTGTTTTCCACCACCACCACGATAAGTTGGAGGGAGAGGGGGTCCTCCTCCTCCTCCTCCTCCACCTCCTCCTCCTCCTCCTCCTCTTCGTCCTCCTCCTTCCCCCTTCAACTTATGGTGGTGGTGGTGGAAGACAGGCCCATCATAAGACGGCCAAAAAGACTGTCAGAAGGACACCAAGAGAAAGCCAGAGAGGCCCACGAGGGGAAACTCGTAGAGGCCTCCGGAGCCCTCCCCCACAAGAGGGCCCCAAAGATTAAGTCGGGCCTGTCCTCCTACACGGGGATGGTGGACGAAAAATAATACAGACTTGCAAAATGACCCCAACATGGCCAAGAAATACTGAAAAAATCGTCCCCTGACGGTTTTTCTCCTATTTTTGAATTTTCTCCTGTAGAGGGACATGCCCGACTTAACCCAAAGACCCAGACCCACGACGACATGTCATTTTCATGACGTCGACCCCCCGAAGCCCGAAGTCTCGACCCATTCCCCGGGGCCGGCTTTTCATTCCGAGTCGTTTTTTGACAGTCCCGAGGCTCGGTAAGGGCCACCAGAGACCAAAAGTAGCAAACAACGTTTTCGGCATGGTTTTTGTTCATGACTCGAGGTGCCCTCGGACGCCGAGCGTGCGCCAAAAGATGAGCCCCGAAGGCCCGAAAGAAGCCCTCCGAGGGCCCCTCCTCCGAACAGGCTCCCAAGATGCAGCCCTCGAGGCCTCCACGAGGCATCCATGAAACCCAGACAAGCCAGAAACAACTACACGCAGGCAACATGACGGGACGCAGCAAACAACATTGTCATGATCGTCATCACTATCACCATCACCATCCTGATAATGCCACCATTAATCATCAGCAACAGTATGATCATCAACAACAGCATCATCATCATCATCATCATCAGCATCATCATCATCATCATCATCATCATCATCATCATCATCATCATCAGCATCAGCATCATCAGCATCATCAGCATCAGCATCATCATCATCATCATCATCATCATCATCATCATCATTATCAAAATCATCATCAGCATCATCACCTCCACCACCATCATCATCAGTGTAATGCTCAATCGCACCATTATCATCATCGTCATCATCAGAATGATCATCATCACTGCGATCAGCATCTTTTAAAGGCCATTCACAAGGGAAATGCTAAACGCAACGCTAACTAAGCCCACGCTACAGGCAGCCAGTATGTCGCCGCGCTGCGTGTTACGACGCACGGTCTCACGTCTTGGGAAGGGCGCCTCGGCCACCAGGGCAAACGCAGCCTCGGGCGCGGTGGGCTCGCCGTGGGTTTGCCACGCGGCGGCCTCGTCTGTTTGGGGTGCGGGCCGCAAGGATCGCCATGGGTTTGCCGTGGTGTCGGCGTCGTCCACTTGGGCGCGTACAGAACAAATGGTCTGGCGACATCTACGAAATCGTACGCCGCCCATCTCCTCATCCAGAAGTCGGCAGCACGGCGCACACCACTCGAATACACTGCTTCGTGTGGGGCGCAGGACAACGATTCGCCTCCGCACCGTTTGCTCCGACGCTGCTCCGAGGGCACTCCAAGAAGCAATCCGACTGCTTCCTCAGTGTCCCCCATCTTTCTTCTTCTCCTCCTCCTCCTCCTCCTCCACCTCCTCCTCCTCCTCGTCGTTATCTTTTTCACACGCCTCCCTCTTCTCCTCCTCCTCCTCATCAACCTCCTCCTCCTCAACTCCTTCTCCTCCTTATCCTCCTCCTCATCCTCCTCGTCCTCCTCTTCTTCTTCTTCATCATCATCATAATCATAATCATAATCAGCAGAATCATCCTCATCATCATCATCGTCAACATTGTCATGAGCATCATCATCATCACCCTCACTCTCACCCTCATCATCACCATCATCAGCATCAGCATCATCATCAGCACCATCATCATCATCATCATCATCATCATCATCATCATCAGCAGCATCATCATCATCATCATCATCATCATCATCATCATCATCATCATCATCATCACCATCAGCATCATCATCATCATCACCATCATGAGCATCATCATCATATTCCTCATCCTTCCCTCCTCCCCCTTCTCTTCGTCTTCCGCCTCTCTCTGTCCCTCCTGCACTCATCCGCCCCTTCAGGCCGCCCTAAGCTTGGCCCCACTGCAGGGATTTTCTGGTCCGCGTTTAGATTCTCTTGGGAGGATGGTCCGACACACCTGGCGAAAGGGTCCCCCTTGTCACGTCCGCACCCCGGTTCCCTCCTCCCCCATTCAACCCCATCAAACTAGCAGTGCTGGCAAGCCGTTATAAGAACGTGGAGGTCACCTGCTCCGGCCAGAACATGTTGAAACGCGGTGGAGTCCCACGTGGCTTGACACGCCCAAGCCAGCAGCCGACCCTATTGGCCACCATTTGCCTCTCCTCCTCCCCCCACCTCAGCCACACCATTACTCCCCTCTCCTCCTTCCGCTCCTCCACCTCCCCGTCGTTCTCTTTCCAATCCTCTCCTCCTTCTCCTGTTCCTGCTCGTGTTCCTCCTCCTCTTCCTCCTTCTCCTCCTCCTCATCCTCCGCCTCCTCCCCATCCTCCGCCTCCTCCTCCTCCTCCTCCTCCTCCTCCTCCTCCTCCGCCTCCTCCTCCTCCTCCTCCTCCTCCTCCTCCTCATATTTGTCCATTTCCCAAGCTGACCAAGTTCGGTGAACAAGTTGCAGGCGGCAACAGGCTGCGGCCTCCCGCAGCGAGCAAACAGGGCATGGCCTGTTAAAGACTCACCGCGCGGCGCGATCACCACGGCTCGGACTCGGAGTCGGACCCAAACTCCGCGGGATCCTGAAAGGGGCCCTGTTGGGCCCTTTGGCCAGTCGCTTTCTGGGTTTCCGCTGCCTCTTCGAGGCGGCCAGCACAAGAATTCGGATCAGCAGAAGTGAAGCCGAAACGAGCACACACCTGCTGGGCCGTCCACCTCTCGCCCCAGAAGCAGTTCACCGCCGCATCCCCCGCAGTCTCTGACCCAGCAGGATTGGGCCGCGAGGGTCCACGCAGCCCGGGGCAGGCAGCACTGGCAAGGTCATGCATCGAGGGCCTGCGGGCGGGTCCCCTGGCCCAACCTTTTGTACTGCGGGGCCCACCCTTGGAAACAAAGGCCCTCCGACGCTCCCTCGCGCTGGCGGAGGGGGGGCCACCGTGCGAGACGAGGGCAGGCAGGGTTGGCAGAGGCTTGTCATACCCCCCCAGGCATAGGCCCTGCAGCTGGTGCAGGAAGTAGCCGTCGACCCTCGAGCGATCGGAAAACTGTTGGGGCCATAAACTCCAGAAAGCGAGGGAACATGTTAGGTGGGACGCATGAGCACGAGCAGCTCTGGAGTCTCGACGTCGTCTGCCCGCAACAACGCGCCAGTCGCGACTCGAAGCCTCGGGAGCTGCAGCTGCTGGGATGGTCCCGCTCCTGCGGCCTCGCGACCGAGCTTCGCCTCCAGACGCTGGGCCTTATCGGGCAACGGGTCGAAATCGCGCACCTCTCTGTTGGCCATACCGACCTCTTGCTCACCAACCCAACACAAGATCTGCCCGCCGGGTGGAGACGGGCACCTTTCTTGGCCAAATTCGTCGACGCGGTCCGAGCCGAGCTTGGCGAAAGTCGTCGAGCGGCCAGCATCGACGTCATTCCACGAGCGATGGGCTTTCACCTTTGTGACCGACGGTAACCCCGAATCAGACACATGGTGAACACGGCTCCACAAGTTGGCGCGGCGGGTGCCTGAATCACAGGCCGCCGCTGGGTCCAAGAAACAGCCTGTGGTCTCGACACAAACGATGACAAAACACATAGACTGTCGCTAAGAGGGTCGACGCAACCTGACGCGGCCGTCAGGACTCCGTCCTCCTCCCCGTCCCGCGCCATCTGGCAGGGGCCTAGCTCGTACGGCACCGCCCCGCAACGAACCCCTCGTCGTCGACCATCGCGGGGCCCCAACCAACTCGCGCGAACAGGGGGTCTGTCGGGTTCATAGCGGAGCTATCCGACAAACAGGTTCCCTGACAGCATGCCGTTGGTCGGTGCGTTAACTCAAACAATGTGAGCCTGGCTGGCACGGAGCGGGGGAGGAACCAACTCGAGGGGAGAGGGGAAGATGCCAACCGCGGCTTTCTCCAAGCCCTGACCCTGGTCTCCAGCCGGCGAGAGCAAGATGCAGCGCAGCGGCAGAACCCGCAGCCGAACACGGCCCTCCCTCCCCGCCGTGCCTTCTGTTTGCTCTTCTGACAGGTCGAGAGCCGCATCAGAGTCGCAATCCAGAACAAATCCCTGCCTTTTGGCACCCCGTCCTGCCCAATCCTGCTGAGCATCTCTCGGCCGCGAGCCCGGAGGGCCATGCGGGGAAAAAGCGGGTGCAGCGCACCGTTAAAAAGCAAAAGTTTTCGGATTCGGTTCGTTCGCCTCCTCCACTGCCCTGACGCGGGCATACTCTACGGCCTCGCGGGCTCCTGTGCTCGGTGTGTTTTCTCATCGCCATGCCTGTTCCAACTGCGCGCCTCTTGGCCGTTCCGTGTGTCTGCCACATCGCCGAAGTCGGCCATGCTTGTTTTGTCTCACAGGGACGCGACAGCAGTGCAGCTAATGTTTACTCAACCAAATGAAGCAGTTGGCGGAGAGCGGAAAAGGGGAAAAAGGAGAGGATAGGAAGGGGGAAGAGGGAGGGGAAAAGGGGGAAGGTGGGAGAAGGCAAGGGACCTGCCTCTGCACAAAGTTCAGGTTCAATCGGCCGACACTGTGCGTGCCTAAGGGGTTGGGGCATAGAAAATATCCTGGAAAAAGACCCAACCATATGCAGTTGTGGGTACCGTAATTGTGAATATCTTCTTCGGTGGAGCTCCCTATGGAGTCACGAATCGCTGCACTGGGTGGGGAGGAACGCATGCGGGCGGTAGCATTGGGGCATCGGTGAAGCTCCCTATGGGAGCACGAAGCGCTGTACTGGGTGGGGGGGACGCATGCGGGCGGTAGCATCGGGGCCTTCGGTGGAGCTCCCTTTGGGGCCACGAAGCGCTGTACTGGGCGGGGGGGACACCTGCAGGCGGTAGCAGTCGGGCCGTCGGTGGAGCTCCCTATGGGGCCACGACGCGCTGTACCAGGTGGGGGGGCGCATGCGCGCGGTGGCATTGGCGCCTTCGGTGGAGCTCCCTATGGGGCCACGAGACGTGTGAGGGGTGAGCCGAAGTGTGGGGGACGCATGCGGGCGGTGGCACTGGGGCCTTCGGTGGAGCTCTCTATGGGGCCACGAAGCGCTGTACTGAGTGGGGGGGACGCATGCGGGCGGTAGCACTGGGGCCGTCGGTGGAGCTCCCTATGGAGCCACGAAGAGCTGCACTGGGTGTGGGGGACGCATGCGGGCTGTAGCGCTGGAACCTTAGATGGAGCTCCCTATGGGGCCACGAAACGAGTGAGGGGCGAGCCGAAATGGGAGTGGGGGACGCATGCGGGCAGAGGCATTGGGGTCTTCGGTGGAGTTCCCTATGGGGCCACGAAGCGCTGTACTGAGTTGGGGGGAACGCATCGGACGGTCCCACTGGGGGCTTCGGTGGAGCTCCCTATGGGGCCACGAAGCGATGTACTGGGTGTGGGGGACGCATGCGGGCGGTAGCACTGGGGCCGTCGGTGGAGCTCCCTATGGGGCCACGAAAAGCTGCACAGGGTGTGGGGGACGGGTGTGGGCTGTAGCGCTGGGGCCTTCGGTGGAGCTCCCTATGGGGCCACGAACGCTGTACTGGGTGGGCGCTCGCTATGGGGCCACGAAGCGCTGTACTGGGTGGGTGAAATGCCGAATTGGGCTTGCGGGACGCATGCGGAAGGTTCCACTGGGGGCTTCGGTGGAGCTCCCTATGGGGCCACGAAGCGCTGTACTGGGTGGGTGAAAATGCCAAATTTGATGTTCTGGGTCGCATGCGGACGGTCCCGCTGGGGGCTTCGGACGAGCTCCCGATGGGGCCACGAAGAGCCGTACTGGGTGGGTGAATGGGCTTCCGGGGCGCATGCGGAGACGCATGCGGACGGTGGCACTGGTGCCTTCGGTGGAGCTCCCTAGGAGGCCACAAGCGCTGTACTGGGTGGGTGACAATTTTTCAAATGCCAAATTTGATGTTCTGGGACGCATGCGGACTGTCCCACTCGGGGGTTCGGTGGAGCTCCCTATTGGGCCACGAACGCTGTACTGGGAGGGTGAAAATGCAAAATTTGACGTTCTGGGACGCATGCGGACGGTGGCACTGGCGCCTTCGGTGGAGCTCCTGCTGGGGCCACGAAACGCTGTACTGGGTGGGTGAAAATGCCAAAGTGGGTTTGCGGGGCGCATGCAGACGATGGCACTGGCGCCTTCGGTGGAGCTCCCTATGGGGCAACGAAACGCTGTACTGGGTACGTGAAAACGCCAAATCGGGCTTCTGAGACGCATGCGGACGGTCCCACTAGGGGCTTCGGTGGAGCTCCCTATGGGGCCACGAAGCGCTGTACTGGGTGGGTGAAAATGCAACATTTGATGTTCCAGGGCGCATGCGGACGGTCCCACTGGGGGCTTCGGTGGAGCTCCCTATGGGGCCAGTGAAGCAAAATGCTATCCCCACCACTCGCAATATTGATCTCCAGATATGCGCACACTTGAAGACACAACGGCAAGGAGGGAACGGTACCACCAAGCTAAATCAAAACAACTTATGCGTTCCCAGCTGATTGATGTCCGCCCAAGGCTTTGTCTTTATTCGCCAACAAGAGAATATACCCAACGGTGCGCTTCCGCCGAGTGCCAGTCCTGATGTCCCCCCAATCGCCAGGCTCGATTCACAGCGCCATCGCGAAAAATCAAAGATGCTTACGGAGACGCCTCGAAATGATGAGGAGCGGAGGAGAGGAGGGGAGGAGGATGAAGAGGCAGGCGAAGGGCAGGATGGGGAAGGAAGGGAGAGGACAACGCGGGGGGGGGGGGGGGGGCAGAAGAGGGCCAGGAGACGTGGGAAGGGGCAGAGAGTACGGACAAGGACCAGCGAGGCAAACGGCAACGACCATGACACCACACCTCGGCAGCACCTTATCTGCCACACGCTCACGGCCAGGGGAACATGCTGTCGCAGAGAGACGGCGCAGGCACGTCGTCCGAAGCCTGCTCTCGTCGCCCACGGCGTCGCGGGCCGAATACCGTGCCAGCCGCGGGTCCGCCTCTGGAGCCCGCACGCGCGGGAAGCGAGCGAGAGAGAGAGAGAGAGGCACGCGAGCATGCCGCCCCGCCGAGGGCACTGAGGCTGGCCTTCACACGTAGGCGCCCCTCGTCTGCCCTCGCCGCGAGTGGCATGCTCCTACGGCTGGCTCGTGTCGTGACACCTCGTGGACCGTTCAATCTTGAGCCATCGCGGCATAGCGCAGATCATTCGGCATCATCCCATCCCAGGCCATTGCGGCGTTCATCCTTGAACGCCCGCGGCGGGATCGCCGCCGCATCCACTCTGCGCGAACCCGCCTCACACTGGTTATGGCCCCTCTGTTTCTCGCCCGGGTCCAGGAATGCGGCAAGCATGCCGCAGTGGAAGTGGGCCGCAAGCGATGCAGAAATCTGGAGCAGAGCAGCTTCCACCCTGTAGCCCACCACCGTGCCGCAGACACTGAGTGAAATACCCTCTTGTCCACATTGAGCCCCCGATGCTCTTGAGAGACCCCAAACCTATGATTTACCCTATTTGTGGGGGCTCCTGGGCGCTTTCAGGGCTCCCCACGTGACCCCATCCGATGCCCCGGGGCGTGTGGCTTGGAAGCCGGACCTCCGACATGCCCTAAGATGGTCCTACGGGCCAGCTGTTGACCGCTATCAGCTGCACTGGGAGTCTCTAGGTCGGCCCAACAATGCGAAACCGCGCAAAACGCGTTTCGATTCGGGGATGATGGCGTCTACCTTGCCTTGTCGGCCTCCAGGGCGTCCACGACAAAAGTGCATGCGTACACATCATGTTTCGAAGGTCCGAACGGACTTCTTGGATCGGCGCTGGACCCCCGTGGCGACGCCCGCGCTTCCGCCGGCACCCCTGGAGCGCTCTGCGCGCCAGGATCGGGGGCCCAGCGCCGATCCGAAAAGTCCGCGCGGACGCTCGAAAGACAGTGTTAAATCGTGCGTGTCCTCCTGCAGGCGGTTTGCTGGAAGACACATAGGACATATACCATAAATTTACAAAGGTTGACCAACAAATGAAAGAACAATCGTCCCCAACCTATTTTTCATAACTATGTTTGAACATTTCTCCTGTAGAGGGATATGCCCGACTTACACGTAGCTGGTGCTCCCTCATCGATTGGCATGTTCCTGGGCCGGGCCGCCGTGACGTCGCGACGGCTCTGCAACGGCCGCCAGGGCGTGCGGGGAGATTCGGCGACGCGCCGAAGGGGGAAGTGAGGGGGGGTGCAGTGGAGGCCAGTCCGCAGGAAACCTTCCTCAAAAAACCCAACCCTGAGACCCCAGGGAAGCCCATGGTTTTTTGGTGTGGGAACGTCACGCTCTCCATGGCAAAACCGTCGGAATACAAGAAACCCAGGGCACGCTGGAGGCGAGCGGGGTGTTTCCTGGCGTGGGTCCCCACTGCAGGCCCTCTCGGAGGGCGCGTCGGGCTTCTCGGCAGGCTCAGACAGCCATCCTGGAAGTCTGGAGGCCTCCTGGGCCTTCTGAGGCCCCCCCCCGCCCCTCTGCCTTCCCATGTGAGCTACCGTCGGGGCATTGACCTAAGGAACTCAAAAAAGCACGAGGCCCCTGTCTCCCAGAAGTTGAACTTCGCTTTCCCATGGAACACCTCAGGAACACCGAAGGCAAACTGCAGAGCAATCAGGGAGCACCGAGCCCCTCCCCAACGAGAAGGGTTCCTTCTTCAGGGCCCCGACTCTGCGAACAGAGACGCGACCCACTTGAGATGGGATGGCATAGCGGCCCGACGCGGGCCAGGGGGCGCGGCACGCCACGTCGAAAACGAGGCCGCCGACGCGCGACCTTGCGCGGGCAGCTTCCGCGCCAACGTCGGCGAAGCCGACCCCGCGTCTGCACGGTTTCCCCCGCGGCCGAAGGCGACCCGACGAGGAGGAGGAGGTGGAGGAGGAGGAGGAGGAGGAGGTGGAGGAGGAGGAGGAGGAGGAGGAGGAGGTGGACGGGTGACCTAAACTCTTCGGAGAAACGCCCCACCCGCGTTCTTTCGTCGCTCACGAGTGCGGGGACGGCAAGCGACCAGAGCCACATCGAGGACACACCCTGGGGGATGCGTTGCGCACGACAGCTGGTGTCGGGACACCGAAACCAGCTTTGTACTGGCTTGGGATGCACAAAGACATACTAATACTATATGTCCTCCTTGGAGGCGCACGTCCGACCCGAACATGTAGTATACCCATTATCGTTTCCCGAGCGGTGTGACCAGAAAACGCACGCCACGACGCATATACCATAAGATTTCTCGTTGCGCGCGTCGCTCCTGGGGGAGCGACGCACATGAAGTACAAGCATGTTGGGGTGACGCCGATGGCTGTGGTCGTCGTGGCGTCCCAGGTGGACGGCCAAGTCGACCACAACCACAACCAAAGTGCTCAGGTCGAGGTCGGTGGGATCTCCCCCGAGGGGCCCTCCCGAAGAGTCCACGTCGTTGGGGCTGAGGCTCCTGATTGCGCCTGGAGCGTGGGCGCGCCGCCGAGAGACCGCGCAGGATCCCCTGGAGCCTCTCTGAGGTTCTGGCGGCTGGGCCGCCTGGGTGGGCGGGGCTCCCTCGAAGATTCTCGAGGCGGGGCCGCCGGGGCATGTGGGTCGGGCCGCGCAACATCAGTCATTATTGCGGGCAAGAGTTGTGCCCATATCCACTGCTGCTTGGGGGTTCGGGCTCCCCTCCCCGGGGGGATCGACGGGGATCCAGGGGATCGACGTTTATCCATATCCAATGCGCCTCAGCTTTGCAGCGCCCTTTCCAAGACAATCGGGGACGCACTGGATATTGATATAAATCTTGCCCGCAATCATTGAGACGGCACATGGGGTCGGATCGGACCGTGATCAGACCGCATCGGCACGGAGCCGGAATCGGATCTGATCGGCCGCGCGAGGATGCACAACAACGCCATCATGAAAAGATCTGGCCACATCGAACCTTCGAATGTCGGGATGAAATAGGATCGGGCATCGAGATCGAATCGGATCGGTCGGATCGAAACGGACCCTGCCATAATGACTATCCCTACTTGTGCAAAGTCCAGCGACCCCCCCGACGGGCGGAGGGAAGCACGGCAGATAATTGCGCACGCGCGCGCACAAATGCCGGTGCTGGCGATTCTTGCGCTGCTGGAAACAAGCACCCGCGATCACCAAAGAGCAGAACAAATCCAACCGGGCCGCACACACCCAAAGAACAAAAAGCGTGCAAACTGGTGCTAATACGGGTGACACCCCGTGCTGCCCGTGATGGTGCTTGGGGACGCACACGCCCAAGGAGCATCAAGCGCGCAAGCTCAGAGGAAGAAACATTGCATAACCATCAACTTTTGGCGGTCCGCGGAGCGCGCCAGGGGCGGCGCCGGAGGCGCCGCCCGGGGGGGGGGCCAGCGCGGATCCAAGAAATCCGCGCGGAGCGCCAAAACTTTCTGTTTATGGCGTTTTTGTCTCCTTCGACTGGTCACACCGTGCTGCCCGTTCCGGTGCTCGGTGCCTCCTGCGCCCCGTCCTGACATCAAGGGCAAGCGAAAACCCACGCCGCCTCCGCGCGGAACACGGCCTCGAAAGCGTCGCCCCCGCGCAGCGCCTCCTGCGGCACTGGCACGAGCAAGAGCTGTCAGCAGCACTGCGAGAAGGACTCCCGCGGACCAGCGTCTTGGAGAGAGACTCCTGGGGGAAGAGACTCCCGTCGATATCAGCTTCCTCCCTAGGGACCTGGGCGCGACTCCGCCCAAACTTCACGGCGAAATCATGCACATTGCGTCTGTGCTTACAATGGACGGCGAGATGCTGATGCGAGCCCCCTTGCCAAACCTGGGATGCATTTCCCAACCACCCTGTGAAGTCGGGTCCTCTTTTTGAACCAGCAACGCCCCGCGTCTCCTCTCCTCTCATCCTCTCCCTCTTCCCATCCGTGCCTCTTCCTTCCGCATGTCTCTGCTACGGCGCACCCCTAACACGCTCAGTGGTCCCATACGGAGCGCCACCGAAGGCGCCAGTGGCAGCGCACGCACGCGAAATCGGGTCCACTCTGGAACCTCACACGTTTCGAGGCCCCATAGGGACCTCCACCGAAGGTCCCAGTGGCAGCGCACGCATGCGGACTCGGGTCCATTCTGGCACACCCCTCACACGATTCGTTGCCCCATCGGGAGCTCCGCCGAAGGCCCTGGTGGCAGCGCCCGCATGCGGACTCGGGTCCATTTTGGCATACCCCTCATACGTTTCGTGGTCCCGCAGGGACCACTCCTGAAGGCCCCAGTGGCAGCGCCTGCATGCGGACTCGAGCCCATTCTGGCACACCCATCACACATTTCGTGGCCCCATGGGGACCCCAGCTTACCACCGCCTTTTTGACGTAACCAACGCACGTTCCCGCCCGGCACTGCTCTAACACTTGAACGGCTCTGTGATTAGATCGGAGGCGAAGAAGCCTCGAGACACATAGCATTGCCAATGCGAGCGGCTCAGGGCCGCAATCACACCGGAGGCGAAGACGCCTCGAGACACATAGCATTGCAAATGCGAGCGGCTCTGGGCCGCGATCACACAGATATACAGCTCGTCGCCTCTGGTGAAAACGATTTGTATATATCGAGGCTGGCGGCTGCGAGTCCGCCAAAGCATAGAACATTGAATGGATTCTGGCGCGCGCGCGAGATGGCATTCTACCTAGTCTACGCCATTGTGTAACACAAATCTTATGTATTAGAATTCCAATGTATTAGAAACGTCCCTGTAGGCTTGGACGCACTAAGCTTCCAGAGGTCGGCAGACACTCACTTCCTTCCCTCATGGGCGTGAGCGCCCATGTTGTCACCTCGCCACCCAAACACTGCTCTGAATGCTCGACACTCAAGCCGGCACACCGGAAAAGCCAGAGATGATGCGCGTCCGGGCGCGTGACGTCGTACCGGCCATGAGGCCCCCCTGGCATGTCCACCCGAAACGCGTCCTCAGAGACCGCACCGCTGCCAGTGCTGACGCACGGCCGGTTCTCCTTGACGACCACCACCCCGTTGGGGCCGAGGGCGGCGCGGAGGGCGGCCAGGACGGCCACCACGTGAGCGTCCACCAGATACTGGAGCGTCCACTGCACCCACACGAGGTCGACGGCGCGGTCGACCGGCTCGTACTCCTGCAGCCGGGCGCACGCGAACCTGCAGCGCTGCGACCGCTTGTTGCCCAGGTACCGCCGAGCCTGCTTCAGCCATCGCTCGCACGCTTCGACCAGCAGCACCTGCTCGCACCTCCTCAGGAGGACGTGTTTGGTGACGCGGCCGACCCCTGCCCCGGCGTCTATGGCCGTGCGCATCTGGAGCCGCGGGAGCCGCGACCTCAGGTCGTCCAAGAATCGCAGGGAATGCTCCACGTCCGCCTCGGAGCCGCCGTCGCCGATCATGGCCTCCTCGTCGCTGCCGCCTCCGTAGCCATTGTCGTCCCACCAGGCTGCGTTAGCCTCTGAACATGGTTTGGTCGATCCCCATCCCCACTGACTGGCATTGCGCATGGCGCATGGCACTGGCCCCCCTATGTGACAGTGTATGAATATCTGCTGCTCCCTTCAAGTTTCGCGGGGCCCGGCCCCACCAGGGGGGTGGGCTGGTGGCGCCCCTTGTAAGACTAAGTCAGGACAAAGACAACACCGGACACGGATACATCGGGATCTCTGAGATCCAGTGGTTCTGGACGATATGTCGGGCGCGCAAGTCCTCTCAGAACGCTCTGAAACGCTACGAGAGCGCTCTGGAGCGATCTTTCTGTGTCCCAGCCCCGCCCGACTTGGCCCAGTGGCGATGGGCATCGGATGTGGATACCGACACCGCTGCTCCCAAGACCTCTCCCAGGGTGTGTTCTGACCGGAATCTCGAGGCGAATCCAGATGGCGACGAGGGCCTCCCAGGAGGCCCAACAGGGCGAAAACGAGGCAAGGGTGGCGGCATCCGTACCCTGCCCTCTGCTGAGGTCGGACGATGCCGCGCCTCGTAGTAGCGCTCGTAGTGCAGCGCCTGGTCTGACCACAGCTGGTGAAGGCTGCCGAAATGCCTGCCGCAGTCGTCGCTGCCGGACACGGGCGGCGGCGCCTCGGGCGCAGGCTGCGCCTGCGTGGGCAGTGCTATCGTTAAGTCGGGCGAGTCCCCCTACGGGGGGATTTTCGACGAAAAAAACAGATTCAAAAAATGCTCCCAAGGTAAAAAATACTAAAAAGATGGTCCCCAGACTATGTTTTAGTTATTTTTGAAGAGGGACAGGCCCGACTTCATGCTATCGAAGCATGGCCGATGCCGCTGCCGCTGCTCGTCCTGCAGAGCCCTGGTCCCCACGGCCGGATTCTTCTCGGGAGTTCTAATCGGAGCGCGCCCTGGGGAGCAGCGGCATCGGTATCTCTTGGCTTCCCCATCGGAGGCCGGTCGATTCAGAGCAGGGGCTGTGGACAGCAGAGCCCGCTCCCGACCGCAGCCAGGACCCACACTCTGGACCTGGCGATCCAGGGGGGGCCTGGCTAGGAGAAGGGGTCCAACAGCACCCCGCCAAAACCGCCTCCACCCCCAGGCTGGACCACCCGATCACCAGGTCGGGAGTGGGGGTCCCGGCCTGGGGGTGGGGGTGGGTCGCGCTGTCCACACGTGCCCCTGCGCCGAGCGACCAAGGCCCCATGGAGATACCCAAAACGAAAGACACGCCAAGATGGAACGCTCCAAGGCGACGGGCATGAGCGTATCTCTCCCAAGCCAGGACTCTTCTGAACAGTCGTGCCAACTGCAGGGCTAGAGTTATGCGTTTCACCCAGACGGACCCCAGAGGGCCTCAGGAGAGACCCAAAACGGGCTCAGAATACCATTCGGCAGCCCAAGACGGCGCCAAGCTGGCCCCACGGCAGCCCCCAGGCACCCCCCATGCGCCCAAGACGGCCCCAAGAGACCCTGCATGCGGCCAAGAAGGCCCCAAGCAGGCAACTGGATGACCCGTTGCAGGAATGTTCGTCGTCCTATGTCGCTTGCCCGAGGGGTGCTGTTGTGATCATGGAGGGCGTCCTGGTTTCACACATGTATTCTCCAGAGGCCTCCTAGATGGGTCCGAGTAGGTGAGGTCGGAGGACGGCACCGAATCGCAGATGTATCGCCGATATCGCCGATGCATCGGCGACGTCGGCGATGCGTCGGCGACGCCAGCGTGGAGAAAACCGGGCTCCACAGCATCGGCGATGCTTCGGCGATGCGGCGCCATCCGTCGACCCCATCTACTCGGGCCCCATCTGGGAGGCTTAGATTTTCATAGATAATGATAAAAAGAAAACAGCAAAAACATAAATTTTGGGCGCTTCGCGCGGATTCCTTGGATCTGCGCTGGACACCCCTCCCGGGCGCGCGGAGCGCGCCAAGGGCTGCGCCGGAGGCGCCGCTGGGGAGGGGCCCGGCTTAGATCCAAGACATCCGCGCGAAGCGCCAAAAGTATATGATTATGCCGTTTTTCCTTCTTGGACAGATTGTCACAATGGACCCGCCAAGGGAAAGCCCAGGACGATAGCGACAGCCAACTCTCGGTGAAGCACAGCCAGTGGGGCCCCAGGGGCCCACCCCTCTCAAGGTGACATCTTGCATGGGGCACTCCTACATGAAGGTAGAGGTGCACAGAGGGCCCTGGTTGGGGCCTGTGTCAGGGGCCAAGCCGATATAGAAAAAAATGTCCCTACTCTGCAACCGCAAATATGCACAGTTAACCAAGGGAGAAACTCAAAGCGATCACCAGCATCTGGGTGGGAGACTCACACGTCAACAAATCGCTTCAATCAACCTGCACAGGACTGGAGGCCTCCCAAAAATGGGCTCCGAGCAGACGGGCGTCCGAATCTCGCGCCACCTCCTCGAAGCATCGCCGATGCATCGGCACTGTCGGCATGCAGAACGGAGTAAAGGGGCTAGGAACACACAAATGAATAGACACAAATCCCAGAATTCCCCATATATTCACATCTTCTCGAGGTTTTCGTATTCTCCCCCACTTCCCATATGTTCGCATACTTTCTTGGGAATCGACAATTAATTGTGTCTGTGTTGTTTCCCTCCTTACAGAGGGCTCCACTTCAAACCACATCGCCGATGCATCGGCGATGCGGCGTGGTCCTCCGACCCCATCTGCTCGGACTCTATGTCGGACGCCTGGCAAGGTTCAGTTTCCCGAGCTCTCTCTGGGGGCGTCTGGCTGGGCCGGACGGAAGAAGGGATTAGTGCAGGGGAGGTTCGTGAAGGAGCTCACGTAGATGATTTTCCAGGCGCCGCCCGTCGCCCATCGAGAAAAGCGCCCAGCAGGGGGGGTCGAAATCAGCTGCACGCAGCAGAGGTCGTACGTGCCCCCCCCCCCTGTCCCAATGCCACTTTCTCGGGAACGGTCTCGGTGAGGCGCGGATGCTGGAAGGCAACCCGACGCTGGAAAGCCGCCGAGCACCGACGAGAGCGCACGAACCCTGAGTGACGGGCGGCCTTTCGATCGCCTCATCGTTCCATATTGGCCGATCCTGGGCCACTGGCGGCTTTCAACCTTGAACGCCCACGGCGGGGTCGCCGCCGCGCCGACGCGACGCGAACCCACTGTACCGGAGTGAGCCCCCCATGCACCAAGTCAATAACTATTTCAATCAAAACCAGCAGCCCGCTGCAGGCGCCGTCTATTTTGTGTTGAAGCTGTGCGCTTCTGCGCAACCCAAGCCCGCACCACCCGGACCCCCCCTCCTCCCACGGCCACGACGACACCGTGCCCCCCAACCCCACGTGGGCCAGGCCCCACCAAGCCCATCCCCGCTGCACCCCCCCCAGGAAACGGACACAAGTAATTACAGGCCCACCTCCTTCCACTTCCCTCACCCTCATCCTCTGATTGTATTTGCATTATTTCCCCCTTTCTTAGAGAGGGGAGGTGGAGGATCGAGGTGGATCTGTATAGTTCTCCTCCTCCAACCCCCAGGCTCCCCACGAGGCCATGTGAGCCCCCCTGGCGGCCCAGAACCAGACAGCACGCTCGGCTTGAAGTGGATCCGCGTGAGCAGAAACTCGATTCCGGCCAAGCAGATAATGATCCAATATAGACCTCGTAGCGTGTTGGTCACGTGTCCCAACGTTCGCCACAAGTCAGGACGGTCGGCTCCTATCGCCGTTACAGGTCGAACCCTGGCAACGGGGGGTCAACATGTGACGCCGCCACTTCTCGCACGGATCAAGCCCGCGAGGCTTGGGCCCCCTCGACAACCAATTCAATCGTTGCAGACAAAATGCGTCCGAAGGCCCTGGAGACTCAGAAAGACCGGAGGAATTGCAGGATTCGAAACCAATGCGATCAATCTAGGACGCACTGATCTCCCAAACGCACAGATACATACACACACAATCTCTCGGTCACCGTTGTCCACTGGCGGTGATCTGATTATCCCAAATGCGCACCCTCCAGAAACGTCATTCACCGACAGAACCTCCCGTCGTAATTCTTCTTTCTCGTGCTACACGTTGGGGATTCAAACTACTGCATCCTAAAACTTATTAATCAACCCATCACCTGGGCGAAACCAGCACCCGCCTCACTGGTGCCCACAACAAAACAAAAATAACAATCACATCTACCTGGAATTCCGACGCTTTCAATATTGGGGGACACCTCCCCCGAGTACACATCTACGAATGCGTTCTGGAAGGCCTTGAAGGCAACATTGTTCGCAACGCTCGGCTCTTTCAAGCGCACTGCGAACACAGACGCGCTCGTGACGTCATCAAGGCTCGTGTCGGACGAAAGGGGGAGCGGGGTAGTACAGTCGGGGGGACGTAAAACTCGGGTTAGGGAGACTCGGGTTGGCCTGACGGGGCCGTCAGGAAAATGACGAGACCCAGCCTGAAATTTGACGCGAGCTCCCGCTGCAGACATCCCACGAAAACTGGACCATCAATATCCAGGACAGGCGCGTCAAACCGCGGCCGCAAACCAGAGTTCCGGCGAACTCGAGTCTCTTTTTCCCCGATGCAAAGGGGGGGTGCTAGCGAACCGGCTCACGCAGCTGGTGCCCCGGCACCTCCCACCACCGCACGCGCCCACGTACCCATGTAATTATCCAGGGAGGCGCCCCACGGCGAGGCCGAGACCAGCTACGCAACAGACTTCGCACTCACCCTTCTGTGGCAACTCATGGGAGCCTCCCGTAATCACCAACTTGTGTTGGCTCTTGCGAGCCGACGCGAGTCGACGCTAAATCGGCGCTACTCGGCGGCAGTCGACGCTGCATCGGCGCCGTCTCATCGAATACCAGACGCAGATCGACGCCAGCACACCCCGAAAACGGAACCACGAGGGCACGCAGAGCCCCCGTGCCTTGCACCGAACCACCCCTCCTCCGTCCCTCCCGTCCGACCCGGATGAAGGGGAGCCCAGAATCGAATCGATAAAGCGGATCGGCGATCGGAATGTATGGGATCGGCGGACATCGGCAGCCGAGTCGGGATAGTCAAATCGGCGGAGATCGGCAGGCCAGCCGCTCTCCATTGACAGGTCGGGAACCTGAATCGGAATCCAAAGTCGAACCGAATCGGAATCGGAAACCATGGACATCGAATCGGAACCGAGTCGGAGGAATCGAAACGAGCCCTTGGAGGACAGGAGGAGGAGGAGGAGGAGGAGGAGGAGGAGGAGAGGGAGGAGGAGGGGAAGAGGAATGAGGAGGAGGAGGAGGAGGAGGAGGAGGAGGATTAGGAGGAGGGAGGAGGAGGAGGAGGAGGAGGAGGAGGAGGAGGAGGAGGACTGTCTGACTGACTGACTGACTGACTGACTGACTGACTGACTGACTGACTGACTGACTGACTGACTGACCACCATGAGCTCCACCGATCTCTGACGCGATGTGCACTCTGCACTCGCTGCAAATCTCAAATCAAAACTATCATTAAGCAGTCCATCTTCTGGATTGCCTGCTGATGCTGGAGCGGTGAACCTGCTAGGTGCGGATCGCCCTTCGGGGCTGGGCCAGATGCGGCGGAGCGATGCCCTACGGGATCATGTCGATCCCAGGGCACGCTCCCACGATCCCCGACGTGTGAGGGGACCGTGGAAGGCTTTCAACGAGAGA